AAGATCTAAATTAAGGAATTAGACTGTAAAATTTTTAGATAAAGACATAAAGCAAAAGTTTCAGAATACTAAATTCAAGAATGGTATCTTGGATATGACATCAAAGGCCAAGGGAAAAAAAAAAGGAAATAAACAAATTGGACTTTATAAAAATTGTGATTTTTTTTGTGTATTAAAAATCACTATCAACAGAGTAAAGAGGCGCCTACAGAATGGCAAAAGTATTTGTAAATCATACATATGATAAAGGATTAATATCTAGATTATACTGTGAACTCCTAAAATTCAGCAACCAAAAATCAAAAATAAGAAAATAACAATTATTAGCAATAATTTAATGAAACTGGAAACCTTGTATACTGTTGACAGGAGTTTAAAACAGTATAGCTTCTGGGGAAAACAGTGTGGTGATTTATCAAAAATGTAAAGCAACTGTGTATGGTGGCACAGTCCTGTAATCCTAGCTATACAGAAAGCTGAAGCAGGAGGAACTCAGGTTTGAGGCCAATCTGGGCAATTTAGCAAGACCTTGTCTCAAAGTAAAAAGGATTGGGGATTATAATTCAGTAGTAAAGCACTTGCCGAACACAAGCTCTGTGTTTCATCTTTAGCACTACAAAAAACAAACAAAATTATCACGTGATCCAAAAATTCTATCTTCGGATACAAAAAAATTGAAACCAAGATCTCGAAGAAGTTAGCTGCCCCAAAACATAGTAGCTTAATTCACAACACCTAAGAGCTAGAAGCAATTCCAGATAGATGAATAGAGAGCTGTGATTCCTCTAGGGGGTTGCTAGCATAATAAAATTGAAAGAGAAAGTAGCAGAGCAATTATGTGTAAAGGGGGTATGAAGTTATTTTTAATTGGCACAGATTTTAGTTTCATAACCTGAAGAGTTATCAGCATGAAAGCTAATAATGATCACATAACAATATGAATGTATTTAATGCCACTGAAATGTTTAAGGCACTGAGCGTAGGTAGCTCAGTGGCAGAACACATGCTTAGCATGCACATAGCCCTGAGTTTAAGGTGGCAGATTTTATGTTCTTTGTATTTTACCACTATAAAAAAATAAATGGATTAAGGAAGCTAGCTATGCTAATACTAATCAAAAGAAAGCAGGAGTAGTTACAATTTGTTTCAGAAAGTACAGACTTAAAAGCAAGGAAAGTTATTTAATGACCATAGAGTGTTAAATGGGGTTAATTCTCCAAGAAAATTTAACAATGCTTAACAGGGATAATATAAGAACAGAGTATCAAAATATACCAGGCAAGAATTGTACTGACACTGAAAGAGTTTGATGGTTTCTTAGAAAACAAAGTTGACTTTTAACAGGTAATACAGCAATCACAGTCCTTGGTATTACCTAAAGGAGTTGAGATTCTATGAGACTATATCTACATAAAAATCTGCAAACTGAAGTTTGTAACAAATTTATTCATAATTGCCAAAACCTAGAAACAACCAATATACCTGCAGCAGGTAAATGGATAAATTATGGTTTACAAGACAACAGAATAATACAGAAATGAGCCACATAAAAACATGGAGGAACCTTAAGTGTAAATTACTAAATGAAAGAAGTCAATCTAAAAGGTTACATATTACATGACTACAACTGTATGACATTCTGGGAAAGGGCAAAACAATGGGGTCAGCTGCCATTAGAGTGGTAGTATGATGCCACATTTACCATAGAGGTTGCCAGTAGTGGAAATAAAGGGGTAAATAATGAATAGGATGAAGCACTGAAGTTATTCTGAGTGATACATAATATGGATACTTGGCATTATACATGTGTTGAAATGTATAACACAAAAATGAACTCTAATGTAAGCTATGTAGTTTGAGTAAAACGATTTGTCCATACAGGTACATCAATTGTAACAAATTTACCACTTTAGTGATGTTACAATGCAAATGGATATGTAAGAGTAGAAAGAGATGTTATCAGAACTCCATGTACTTTCTGTTTAATTTACTTGTGAAAATAAAATGGCTCTAAAAAATAAAAATGGTCAATACTATTCGTCACAAAGGAAATACAAAATAAAACCCCAGTAAGATCTACTATCTATCGTTTAAAGTGTCTAAAATTAAAGACACTGCAAGTGTTGATGAGGAAGTACACCAACTGGAGCTTTAATACTCTACAGCACAGATGACAAACCTTTTAGAGCTTTCAGTGATAACAGCCTGCTATGGCATGCATTCCTCCATACATTCGCCACCACAGCCCCAGGTAGGATTACAGTATGTGTATCTACTATGAAAAACATGTACCATTTCTTAGAACTAAACATGACAACCAGAGATATTTACGTATTCTATTTTGGAGTATTTAACAAAATAAATAAAAACATGTCTACACAAAGTCTTGCTTACAAATTTCAACAGTAGATTCTTTGTGAAGCCACTTAACATTAAAAACACATGAATGGGTTAAGTAGAAAAACTGTGACATATCCATAACATGAAATACTCCTCAGCAATTAAAAACAGCTACCTACTAATGGACGTTGTGACATGAACAGATTTCAAAACTAGTAGCCTAAGGAAGTCAGATAAAGAGTAAACACTGTCAAATTCCATTTATATAAAATTGTAGAAAATGCAAACTAATCTATAGTAGTAGAAACATATTAGCAGTTGCCTAAGAAAAGAAGAGGGCACCTAAAACTTTTCCTGATGCTTGATATAACCTATCAAGCATGAGGATCTTGATTGTGGTAATGGCTTTACAGTTGTATACAACTTAAAACTGAGCAGAGAAAATGAGGAATGAAAGAGCACTAATTATATAATGCACTGAATTATATTAATTCTCATTAAGCTAGAGAAAACAAAACAAAAGCTGGCTATACTTTATACATGTAATATTTATTATATACCAATTATACCTTAGCAGTTCTTTACACAAAAAGGGTAGCGAGAGGGAAAGTGAGGAGCAGTAACAAAATTACTGCCTAGCAGTATGACTTTACACAACAGCGCAATGGGGCAGTGTTTAAGGCTCACTGGAAATCTAGCATCGTAACGTGACTGTTCTATACTGCTGCATTTTTTTCAGTCATATTTATCTAACTGCTCAGATACAGGCACAGAGCAGGTAAACGTACTAAATTTAAAAAAGTCTGAGGCATTTGCTAACCAATTATGAAGGTTAGGGCAGATGCAAGAAAGTAATGCAAATGATGGTTTGAGTCAGAAAAGCAGAATAAGAAGGGATGAGAAAATGTGTGTAGTGCAGGGGTAGGGGGCATGGACAAACAAGGACAAAGGATTCATTCAAGGATCCTTATACAATGCCTGGGGAAACAACAATGAAGACAAGCAAACACTTAATATTCAAACATATAAATGCTTAAGTATCCCTCATACAGAACAGCATTTGTTAATAAGGGATGCAACAACAGAAAGGGAGATATGTTTCCTCATTCATCGTACTATCTCTGGTTCAAATATATTTTTAGGCAGAATCACCAGTGACCTAAAAACAAAACTTGACAGGCATTCTCTGCTCATTTCCGATTAGTCAATTTAGTTATTTTTCCCACTTAATCTGCATCACCCAACTATTAATAATGACAGTATAGACTACCCTTTAAGTGGCTTGGGGTTCTACAAAACAAACAGGTCTTTTAGAGTAAGGCAGAAACAAAACTGGAGGTGAGTAATCAATATTCCATTACAGTACCTATAAACATTTCTACATTGGCCCACATTCTGGCCCCCAAAACAAACCAGGCCACTCCTAAAACAACCTTTAAATATCCTTTTCACAAAGAATTAACTGCTTTTAGTCCTTTTATTTTGAAAGATGTTTTAAATGATTAGCAATTCCATCTTTGGCTATCAAACAGCCCAATTTCAATATAACTTCAATTTATTCCAAATGTCCCCAAATACCATTTTCATGTCATTAACCAGTCATTGCTGGGTTAACAAGGAGAACCTGATCAAATTAAATTGTTACACACTGGTACTGCTTCACACTCCTAACTACTTATGTAGAATGGTAATTCACTTTAAAGAAATTCAAGATGTCTAATTTATATTTACAGGATAACAACATGGTTTGTATTTTTTAGTCCTTTATAAATTCTTGCTTGACTTATCTGACCAAACAATTATGTAAAGCAGTAAACTCCAGTACTTGGGGGTCAGACATCCTTGTCCCTGCCAACTGTATACTCTAGTCATTATAATGACCAAATGACTCCTCATTATTCCCAAAGCCCACAGCAAAAGGGGTTAGGTAAGGAAGCAGAACTTGGCTTAAACCAATGAGACTAGTAACGATTGTGACAATAATGAAAATTTTACCCAACAAGTTTGCTTTTAGAACTACATTTCTGATAACATTTGACATACTGTATTCTAAACTAAGTCTGAAAACTTTTGCTTCCCATTTTATTTCTTTCTGTGTTTATACATCCACTACTCCACGCTAAGGTCCTTACAGTCTCAAAGAAATAACTGTTTCCTGTTTTATTTACTCTTGAGTTTTCTTTCTTTACACTTGTAATGTTTATCTTCCCAAATATTTTCTTTTCTTGATGTTACTCATCCTATGACAACTGAGGATAAAGTGTAAATTCTGTGGGTGTCTAAAATTCTGGATGAGGCTTCAACCACCCTAATCCATCACCACATTTCCTTTATATACCCTTGTTTTAATTTCAACATTAATGTTCCACTTCTGAATTTCAACATTCACGTTTCATCTGTATACTTTACTGACATTTTACTTTCTTCTAATCTTTTAATTTCCTAACTGAATGCTACTAGTCTTAAAAGATACTCAGGACTTACATTCTCCATAATTCCTTCCCCACCAGAGCCTCTTCCCTGCACCCGGGTGAGACTTGAGATTAAAGGGGAATTAAAAGGAGGCAGTGAAAGGTACTGCTTAGAAAATTATTTAAAAGTCAAAACAATTTAAAAGCCCATATTTTACATGAAAATGAATTCACAAAAAACAGTTTTACCTGTTTCACTATTTTCAGGCAGCGATTCATATTCAGAGTGGTCCAGAGTCAGGGTGTTCATGTCTGTCTGGTCTGACTCCTGTACATCTGGGAATGCTGCATTCTCTTGACTTTTGTCACCATCGCCATTGGCATCCAATCCTGTAATTGTAATTTTATGCCCAAAAGGCAATGTTAGAATAATTTTCCCTTAAAATAAAACAAAGTTTACACGTGTATTGATTGCAATTCTTTAACTGGATTGTACAGATCTCAGGCTCTAAGTACTAACCAGAATATTGATGGGAATCGTCAACTTCTTAAATACAGATCAAAATGGTAACAAAGGCAAAGACTTGAGATGAGGGACTCTTGTGAGTATGGCCATGTCCAAAACTTACCCTGTGGGCTGCAGTCTGCTCGAGAGCCAGAGGCCTCTTCCCATGTGGCACTTACACCAACAGCTGCATTACTTGCCTCTAAATGTAACATATGAGTCTCCCATACTTTTGCATTAGGGTTAAGCTCTGAAACCTTAGTTGTTGGTACCTAGGGAAGAAAATCACATATTGTTTGCATCCAAATTTTAAGTAAATGCAATTTTAATTATCAACACAAAGTTAAAAACATTTTTTTTTCTTTGTACTACTGGGGATTGAACTTAAGGGCACTTTATCACTGTGCTACATGCCCAATCTTTTTAATTTTGAGAAAGAGTCTAAGTTGCCCAGGTTGGATTCAAACTTGTGATTCTCCCCACTTAGCCTTCCAACTCCTGGGATTACAGGAATATGCCATTCCACAGACTAAAAACACATTTATATTAAAATAATTCAGGCTAAAAATGTTGAGCCTACCTATTTATATATACGTCTGGGGTGAAATCAGTTAAAAAAAATAACCAAAAGTAGATGTGGTCAAAATTCCACCTAATTCCACTGGTAGATTCTTACATTTCTCCTAAACACATGACTCTAAAAGCTACAAATGACAGACATGGTCCCTGCCTTCATAGAGTTCAGGGTCTCATGGACTATGTAATTATAATTCATACTACCTAACATAAGTCATTATTTAGATTTATAAATTTAATACAATGTAGATGAATAAATTTTAAAGATACAGATTCAAACATAGTGAAAAGTGTTTGAAAGTTCCTTCTACAAATAAAGGTCTGGCAGCTAGTGCACAAAAAGGCTAAAGCATCTACTAAGACAATAAAACATCCCTCATTTTCAATGTCACTACTTGTTCCCATTCCTAAAGGAGTTTCAACAGCATCTCAGGAGCTTTATTCCAAACACAACTTCCCTGTCCTTCCACAGTGGAATCTGCAGGTGATCCTGATGCTGCTAGTCTAGGGCTCTGGTGTGTTTGCTCACTAGGAAAATGGGGGAGGGGCAAGGCTGGGGATAGTAGCTGGGGGTTTGAGTACAACTCAGCCACAGACAGCTGTGCAAGGTGGGTCAACTTACTCCACCTCTAAAAAAACCTTAACTAGAAAGTGAACTTCACAGTTCTCACCTTTGTCTTGGTATGCATAAGGTATGCATTAAATCATTTGAACAAAGGATGTTCAGTAAGTTAAGATCATGGCAGTCCTCTGCGCAAACAAGGGAGTCCTCCCTTCAATGGCTGCCTGGCTCAAAGTAAAACAGAAAGTTCTTACTCTGGGCAGAACATCCTCATGTAGTCATTGCCTCTGGTCTCATTCATTTCCACTCTATCTTGCTGATTCTAAACACAAGCACTTTCATTCCTCTCATTTTGTTTGACCAGAATGACGTTCCAAGATACCCACATGGCACATTCTGTTATTTCCTCTAGCCATTTCCTGGTGCACCTTAAAAACTCAAACAGCACCCGGCCCATTATAGTGGCTACTATACTTCCCATTCCCATGAGTTTTCTGATTTAATGTTAGCTTTCTTCTGCTTACAAATCTTGAGTGAATCTCCAAGATTTAAAGCAAAGTATCCTAGTGGCAGCTGCTCCTCAAATTCTAATTTTGCCACCACAATCTCTCAATAGACCCAAACAAACTGTTTGCCTTTTCCAATGCACCACCAGACTTCACACCATGGTGAGAGTTAACAAATACGTAAGGAAGGGAACGAGTCCTGGTCTCAGGTGCTCCCCTAGACTGTACCACACATCGTCCCAGCTCCGTAATACATGAAAAGGTCAGAAAAACCTAAGGAACTACCAATGAACCATGTGTATTAGCAATTTTCAAAAGACAGAATAAATCCATACTGCTTAGGTAATGAGACTGGCAGTGAGAATCATACAACTATTTCTGAAGCAGACTGTGGATAAAATGGCAGTATACACACACACACACACACACACACACACACACACACCTATATTCTTTGGAAGCAACTTATTTACTGCTCTTCTAGTCACTGAACAATAATTAAAACATCACACCCACAAAGCCAAATGCTTAAATGAATACTTATCTGGAATTCTTTTTACTTTAAATACTGGTGATAGAGAAAAGAATATGGTTTCTCCCCCTTTAGGAATATTATAATCATGAAACACTGATTCTTCAATTTCCTTGCTTACATTAGTTTAAACTTCTGCACACAGTTTCTCACTTCTCTCTCAGCCACCTATCTATCTAACAAGTTCATCTCACATGCTCACTATCAAGTCTGTGCCAAATACTGTTTAGTGATCTGGATATAATGGTGAATAAAATGGACACATTCCCATAGAGCTAAGTGAGAGATACAGAAGACAACCCCCCTATTTCATACACATCACTCAACATATGTATCTTTACTTGTTTTGTTTTTTCTTTATTTCCCTATTTTCTTATATGTTCTATTTGCATAAATCACCTTTTCTAATTAGGTTCCATTCTTTATTCAGTAAACACCACACCATCAAGTCTTCCCACCTCAGTTTAATTCCACCCACTAAACAGACTATTTTTTATGTATCTTACTTTAAATTCTTAATGCTTTCATTAATCTTTTCCACTTTAAGCACCTTTTACAGTTGACTGCTGTATACCACCAATATATGTTTTGTAGTTTCTTAATACAGATCACTCATCTTGTTGGCTGTAAGTGGCTATAATCAGCACTTTGAGAACTACGACGGCACAACATGCCTGGTCTCTCATAGCTTGTGGGTCTGCTATTCATACACTCTTGAATGGCGGCCATCATAGACCTTTTCCCTCATTACTGTGTCACTAATACAAGCAGAGTCCAGAATTTAGTACAAAGGTGCTCAGAAATAAGGGAATACGTCAATATTTCATGAATAAAGAAAATTATATTTTCTACTACACTTTTTCTGTTGTTTCTGATTTCTTTTTCTGATAAAACACCTACTTTGTAGTTTGGCCTGGCCCAAACTGGCCTTGAGCTCATGGCAATCCACCTGCCTCAGTCTCTTGAGTGCTGCCATTAACGACATGTTCTGCCATGCGCAGCCTACAGGACTGAAACTTTTAATTAAGACTTAATGACATGGCAATTTGCATCAAGAGAGTATTCTACAGACTTACCTCTACTGAATCAGAAAAGTCCTAGCAAATAGTTATTACTGCCCCCGTGTCACAAATCAGAAAGCCAAGGCAGAGAAAGGTTAAAAGTTCACCCATAAAAGTGATAGTAACTAGAAAACTGTGTTCTGGTATCAGCAGAAACAATACTTTCATTAGAATGCTTTAACTTCTCATAGCTCACATGAGAAATAGTTTTTACTATATGAAGATATAAACTACCATTTCTTTGAATTACAGATTTTGTTCTCAAAGGGGAAGAGGATCAAGTAATGGAAGGAAGGTAAAGGGAAGAAAGAGATAAAGATGCAAAAAAAGCAATTGGGATGTGTTATATACATTCATCCAGAAGGAATGTAAACATGTATTGTACATATGTACTAATGAACTAAAATTGTAAAAAAGAGAAAAAAATAAAAACAAATTGTGAGAGCCAAGGGCATAGCAAAGTGGCACAAGCACTTGCCTGGCAAGTGCAAAGTCCTGAGTTCAATTCCTGATACCAAAAAAAGAAATAATAATAATAAAATTATGGCTCAAGAGATAATATTCCCTTTGATTCATATAGAACTCTGAATGATTATCAAAAACCCTTTATTTCATATGCATGGCTAAGTCTTCACTTGCACTAAAAATGTATGGATAATCAATGGCTATTAAAATCAGAAGCCAGTTGAATGTAATAGCCACATTCTGGAGTGATTTCACATAAATAGCCAATATTACCTCTCTTTGAAAGTGAGGCACTGCCAAGTTCTGATGCTTTACAGAAACTCTTCCACTCACAGTGCAAAACAATATACTCCATTAAAAATAATATTCATTCATAAATTTGTATTTTATGTTCATGAGACAGAATGTTCCATCTGACAAATTACTACTACAGAGAGTAGGAAGAAATAGGCATAGAATATACAATGAGGGAGACCATAAAGAAAAGAAACTTTTCAAGTAAGTATGTACTATTCCTTGAGTTCCACTAGAAAGTTTAAAAATTTTGATCAATTCACAGACTTCAGAGTTATGAAAATGTCTGACCTCTATTCTTCATTTGTAAAATGGAAAGACAGCTGCTACATAAATACAGTTAGTATAAAAAGAATGTCCATAACAATACTTTGAAAACAGTTGTGAAAAGGTAGCATCACTAACATGGTAATTCCTCAATTTAGAATTGTATTTGGACGTATCTCATGACTGAAAAGTTAATTTAAATATGAAACCAAGACAGAAAGAGGAATTATTTTTACTCTACATGGATGTACCACACAGTAAACAGTAATCAACTGTAACTGCCCACACTTACATAAAAGTATATATGTATCTTAAAGGGTTCATTTAATAGTGTTTCCTCTATTTAAAGAAAAAAATCAGAAGAACCTGCAGGTAATTCTTTTTGCTAATGCTGCTAATAGGAGTATGGAAAGAAAAAACAATTTGTTTCTTTTGAGTAAAGAAAAATGTGTAATTTTAAAAATTATATGATTTCTACTGTTTGTACCCATAATACAGATATTAATATTTGAGGTTATATCTATTTCTTTAATATCATGAAAAGTTTTTCTTACCCAATTACACAAAGATCACAAATAAACTATTAATTGATTTTGCTATTCCAAGTACAGATTGCCCTTTGTATCCATGGATTCTACATGAATCAAAAACTTTTTTTTTTGGTACCGGGGATCAAACTCACAACTGCGCGCTTACAAGGCAGGTGCATATGCCACTGAGCTAAATCCCCGGCCCTAAAAACACTTTTTAAAAAATAACTGCACCTGTAGTAAACATGTACAAATTTTTTGTTACTTTCTCAAGTACTACAGTACAACTACTTCCATAACATTTACATCTATTAGGCACTACAAGAAATTAGAGATGATTTCAAGTATGTGGGAGGGTTGTGTAGATTTATGCAAACACTATGCCATTTTACACAGAAGCTTGATCAGCCATGGATTTTGGTTATCTGTGGGGCTCTCAGAAACAATTCCTCATCGATATTGAGGCAAGAGTATATGTCCTTTTTTGTTCTTTTTTTTTGAGACAGGGTCTCGCTATGCAGTTCAGGCTGGCCTTGGGCTCACTTTTAGCCCAGGCTGTCTTGAATTTGCAAACAATTCTTCTGCCTCAGCCTCCCAAGTGCTGGGATTACAGAATTGCGCCACCACACCCAGATTTTTATATGTCCTTTCAATAACACTGCTTCCATATATCTAAGCAAGATTAGTTTCTGGTTGTTGAATAATGTTTGCCTTTATCACAGAATTGATTGAAAAAATGCTCAATTTAGGTGCCCACAGAATCATCTGCAAAGGTCTTTCCAAATCAGTAAGGCCAGCTCATCTTGGGGATCTAAGAAACAACTCCATGGTGATCTTGAATGGAAGAAAACAGAACCAAGGTTGCAGAGGTAGTTAAAAGTAGAAAATTTTATCTGCTTTACACATATATAATAGAAAAATAGCACAGATTTTTAGTTAAGTTTATAATTACAAGTGTGACTTACATAGTCAATTGGCTCAAACACTAGATAAACACACTACACTGACAATATGCCACTTTACACAGTAAGATACAAAAGGGCTCCAACCACACGGTGGAAACAGAACACCATGAAGAGCAGTCTGCATAAAGCTTTATGGAGAGGTCAGAACGGCATGCTTAAATGCTAGTAAGTTTATATATGCGAACTCTGGCTAAAATACAACAAATTTTCCAATTTGGAAATGGTTAAATTGATGTTATAGTAATTTAGAGCTTTATGCAAGAATTCAAATCACCATATATTATTTAGAAAAAGCTTCATTAATTTAAAAGCACACAAAAGGTAAAGGTCACATATCACAGTATAATAAGTACTGATAAAAGCATACTTACTAACTGTCCACCTCTGCTTTGCAATCCCCAAACAACACTGGATTCTTTCACTGGTAGCTGATAAGAGGGCTGCTCCAATAAAAATGAAGCACTGTCTAAGTCCTGTGGTTCACTGTGTAGACCGTCACTAAATATCTGTTCATCTTCTATTGCATCTTTTGTGCCTGTATTAGCCCAGAGATAGCCCACTTGATAGCTATCACATTCATTTGCCAGTCTTTCAGAAAATATCTGTCTTGTTAATCCTTCCACTGGGTAATAAGAAAATTCATTCAAAAAGTGGGAGTAGAATTTCTCTAGGAAATTCTGCCAATCCACTTTTGGGAAATTTTCAGATATATTAAAGAGATCTGTGAGTGGTAAAACATGGTCACTACTTGATACTATGATTTCTTTGCTGTCAACTGGGATAGCAGGAATTACCTGGTATGTGTTCACTTGAGAGGGATCAACACCAATTCCCATAAAATGTATTTCATCATTTGAAGTACATTCTTTAGCTGTGGACTTGATATTTCTTTCTTTGAAATGGTATGCAGATCCATTTGTTCCACATGGACCTAAGCAGTTAATAATGTCAGTATCAGTATTATCTTTCGCTGAATGAAGTCTCTTTTTTTCTTCTTTACATGCTATTTTTGACTTACTCAGCTCTGATGCATTATCATCAAAGGAATCAAAACCTTTATTTGAGTCACAGCAAATCTGCTTCAGTTTTGAGTTTTCATCACTATTAACAGCATTCTTCTCTACTACTTCTGGCTTCTGTGTAACTGAATTTGAACTCTGACTTAAAGATGGCACACTATTAAGATCTTTACCTTTATAGTCATTCACTCTATGGGTTTCACAATTTCTTTGTATTTGATCAGTTTTAGAATCATGAATTTTTGTTGCACTAGGACTAATACAAGTTGGTGTATCTTCACCAGGCATTGCCTTGCATTTTAGTTCATCTGTTTTCCAGTAAAAAGCTCTTTCAGGATCTGAGTTGACATTTTCTGTATGTTCTTTACTTGTCTCTCCATAATAACCATTTTGTGATTCTTGTTCAGCATTTTCTAATCTGTGAGGATCACTCAGTTGGTTGTATAATACACTGATTGAATTCTTCACACATATTTCATCTTCTGTTTTATCATGCAGGCCTGTTTCTTGTTCTTTATCAGTACAAGTGAAAAGAAACGCAGAGGACTTTAAGATACCCTGAAGAGCTCTGGAGTGATCATGAGATGCATTATTTGGGAGCATACTTTGCAAAATTGTGAGTTCTGGGACGTCTGCTTCTTGGATTGTCCCTTCTGTGTCTGATTTACACTCCACATGAGTTAAGTCACATGTCTGCATCTGAGCCTTGTCTATCCTACTACCTGCACACACATCAGATGTACACCAAGATTTCAAGTAAGAAGCCCTCTTGCCATGACTCTCAGCCTTCAAATCACTGATCTTATCCTTGTCTTCATAGGAAAAGCTAGTTTCAGACTGCAATGACAGCTTTCCTCTGTTTTCTAGCTGTGGACTTCTGTTTTCCAGGTTGGTCTCCCCCTGGTACTGTTTCTTCCTTAGCATGCATTCTGGCAAGAGTGCAAGATCACAGCTATCATCATATTTTCCTGGAGCCCCTTCTCTGAAATTAGCATGAACTGAGAGACACTCATCTCTAAAGCTCTCTGAAGTTATGAACTTTTTGGAATTTAAATTAATTCTATCTAGGCCAAAAGAAAGGATACTATCTGAACTGCTAACTCTGACATGGAAATAATCATTGTCTCTTAGTGGATTTACACAGCTATTTTCTGCTTCCTTTTTAGAGTTTAAACTCTGACTGATATTAACTGTTACAGCTGCAAGTTCATCATTCTCTTCAACATGTGAAGGATCATTAAGTAAATTACCAGACAAATCATCCATCTGGCCTCCTATATCTGAAATATGGCTTGTTCTCTCTTTGGGGATGATGCACATGCATTTTAGTGAGTCACACTCCATGTTAACATTTAATTCAGGGAGTAGGCAAGTATTACGTAATGTACTACTTTCTGTGTAATCTTCAGGAAATATGGTATAAGATTCTGCCTTCAAACACTCAGTCTGCAAGTTATCAATATTTGCTTCACAAGGTGGATCATTATCCAACAAAAGCTTAAAACTAGACTTAGTTTCCTTATTAAATACATTCTTTATTTCATTTGGACCCAGCATATCCAGGGTTGACAGATCTTCCTGCTGCAACTTTAACTCTCCTACCCACTGTGTAGCATGTAAGACTGAACATTCTTTCCTGTTATCTAGATGCCAATTCACCCTGTGAATCCCTTCAGAGGTAACAGCTGAATGATACTGTTCTTCTGCAGCTGTTCCATACATGGGAATGCACAGTTCCTCTTCCATGTTCAAACAGTCAGGATCTATAACACAAATACTGTAAAACTTGGTCTCTGTGGAATTTTTACACTGCTTGTCACTAACACAAGTAGTATTTCCATCTTGCATCCCCTTATCCAACTTATGTAAAGAATTACTGTCATTGAAACTGCTGACTTGAACATTTAGTATTCTTTCTTTCTCTACTAAAGATTTTTCATAAGTGGACAGGTAACTGCACAAAGGATCACTAACAAAAGTTTCCTCTTGCGGTCCATGGTCAGAAGGGACATGCACATGTGAGTGAGGCTGGTCATTTATGGAACAACTCTGTCTGTCATTACTCATGCACAGTAAGTCACACTCTCTCTCAGCATTCTGCTCAATAACAGTATCTGACCTCTTATCACTCTCATCTAAACTTTCATACCTAGTTAAAAACTTACATACCAAAGAGGAAATAAAGTTCTTTGACCGCTTTGTTCTATGATCTTGTTTGTGATCAGACCCTGTAAAAATTTTAGTCCACTTATTAATGCCTGCAGCTGCTCTGCTGACTCCATTTTCAACATTGTAAAATTCTTCACCTTCAAGGGTACCAAATAATGAAGATAAAGTTTTACTTATCTTGTTCTTCGGTTCCTTCTTCTCCACAGACTTTTGTAACAGACCAGTTTTTTCATTGTCATTGTTACTACTTAATTCCTTGCTAAAGCAACAACCCATGTTTGAAAGTTCAAAAACTCATATTACGAAGCTTGTCCTTTTCTGAGCCTCTACCAACACATCTCACACTAACTTGCTATGGTTTCTGAGGAGAGGCCAACACCCACATCAAAAATAACTCTGCACAGCAGTCACATGTTCCTGCCACTCAAATCCAAATCTAAATGAGCAGTGAGCACCCTGCCTAACAACCACTCTACTTTATGGGCAGAAATCCAAACAGTACATGGACTCCAAAGGTTCAGAACAGCAAAAAGAAAAGCTCCCTATTGGTTTTTTCATAAACTAAATTTTAAAAAAGCACTAAAGTTACTGTCCCAGTCAAAGATTTTTTTTTTATTTCTGGTTTTTTAATAATGATTAATATCTCCTGAATTATATTTGATGGGACAGTGCAAAGAATTTAGTTTGTATCCAAAAAAGAAAGTAGTATTAGAAATTTGTTCTTTACTATCTACTTATCCTTTTATCTAATTTTCTAGCTTCAAAAAATAATGTCTGTGGGTGTAAAAGACTTACAACTAATTATATCAGGCATGAAAACGGATAGTGTCACAGATACATGTTTAAGTATTTATGGTAGAATGGCAAACAGATTAGGATTTATTTAAAAATACTCTAGGATTTAGCTCAGTGCCCTAAGCACTTGCCTGGCAAAAGCAAGGTTGTGAGTTTGATCCCCAGTACGTACACACACACTCAGACAAAACCTCCAGGAAATAAGGTAAATATACACATCTATAAAATTCTGAACGATTCTGTGCAGGATGGAGAAACAAAATGAGCACCCTAACACAAGGATGGATAACTATTCACAAAGGAAACATGGGAATTAATTATATTATTCTACCTGCAGATGTGTGAAAATTATAATTAAGAAAAAAGAAACAAGTAAAAGAAAAAAGGAACATACAAAATACTGTACACTCACTAGTACTCAAGCCTCTCAAAAGTACTATGCAGTGGTTCAAAGTTCTATCTATGAGATAAGGAATTAGTAATATACTAAAAGCAGGAAGATGTTATTTGTGCAATATGCAATGTATCAACAATTGTCATCCTATTGTTTTGAAATTTTATTTTTTCTCTTTAAAATGAAATTTTTAAAAAAAGATGTTATTTGTTTATGCAAAACAGATACTGGCCATCTTCATGAAAAATTCAAGCTTTCCAACTGCTAGTCTACTCCTATTCAAGATGTAGACCTACAGTAACTAATTCGACATTACTAATTAGTAATAAATACATATTCATTGAGAAACTACATCCATTAAACGGTAGGGGTTTTTTTCCCCAAAAAATTTAATGAATGAACAAAAAAAGGATTAGTTTTCAGATCTGTCTGTAAAGAAGTTTTAAAAGATTACTCTGATAGAGGGGAGGGAATTCAGCTCAGTGGTGCAGTACCTGTGGGGGAGAGGGGGGGAAAGGGGGAGGGGGAGGGAGAGGGAGAGGGAGAGGGAGAGGGAGAGGGAGAGATGGCCACACTCTTCTCCCATTTCAAGCAACATTGCTTTCTGGTTTTCTATTTTGCTGACCTCTTCCCTTTGTAAGTTAGTTGCCTTTCATTTCTAAAATACTGGTGGACTCCAGAGTTTCACCATTTTTCCTGTCTGTACATGTAAGGAAATGTAATGCAAATTTACCACTTTAACCTTCTCAGTACAAAATGTTTCAAAACCAGCAGCCCCAACCAGGCTTCGTAATCCCAGAATTTGGGAGGCTGAGGCAGGAGGATTGTTGCAAATTTGAGACCAGCCTGGGCTACAAAATGGGTTCAAGGCCAGCCTTAACTACACAGTAAGATCCTGTCTCAAAAAGAAAAGGCAGTAACAACAACAAAAACAAAACACTAGCCCCTTACATTAAGGTTAGATCATTTAAAAATCCTTTCTCGCTTAGGACAAAATAGAAGAGCATTTTTTTTTCCTGTAGACACAACTGCAGATACTCACTCAATGACCTAACAACTGTTCAGACTTAGGACTGAGGCACAGTGTTTGGACTTATAACCTGTTTATTCTTAAGACTGTTGTGAACACCTCATTTATAGAGTCTCAACATCTTTTTTGGAGTACAGTACCCCAGTGGTTATACATTATCTGTTATACATAATGTATCTGTTATACATTATAGTACTGTATATATGAGTTACCCAAATAAAACCAAATCATCAAATTAGGGTTTCTTTTGACCATTTCTTTGTTCTGAATGTCATCAGGTACATGTAATATATAATTCTGTGGTTATACATAATGTATCTGTTATACATTATAGTACTATATGTATGTTAGCCAATAAAACCAAGTCATCAAATTGGAGTTTATTTTGACCATTTCTTTGTTCTGAATGTCATCATGTACATATAATATATAATTCTTCATTTAGCAGCCAATTCAATTAATGACCTACTTCTGGGACAGAAATGAGGTTGATAAATAAGGAATATATTTCTCAATGCCAATTACTTTTTTTTTTTTTTTTTTGAGATGGTGTCTTGTGTAATTCAGGCTGGCTTTGAGTTCACTATGTAGCATAGGCTGACCTCAAACTCATGGTAATCCACCCACCTCAATCTCCCAAGTGCTGGGATTACAAGCATATGCCACAATGTCCAGTGCTACCTAAATCTATATTCATTCATTATCTAAAGTTCACATAAAATTCAGCAATACAACTTTGCATGCTGTAGTAGGGTTACAATAGATATGTATCTATTCCATGCTAATCTATAAATGACTGTTTCATAGAACAATCTTACCCATCTTTATCACTTGGACTCATCTTTGTTGAACGAATATTCAAATTTCATTCACAAAGCATTATCTGCCTACCTACTAGACACAAAACACTGAGCTAGCTATGTGAGTGAACAAGACAAGAAAAAGCAAATCCAGACACAGAAAGTACATCTGTGATTGCCTAGCGATTAATTGTAAATGGGCATGGTAGATAATGAAAGCATTCTAAAACTACAGGGATAGGTGTATAACTGAGGAAGTCTAAATATCAATTTGTATACTTTAATCCAACATAAATAATAAAATGATGATACAGTTTGTAGTGGTATCCTTTTTTTTCCCCTTGATGTTTGCGATCAGATTCAACTCTTGTACACACCTAGGTACATGTTCCAACACTGAACTACAATCCAAACCCATGTCTTACTTTTGAAAAAATTTTACTTTATTAATTTCTGTATGAATTGTTGATTTGGGAAAACAGGAGGTTTACTAAACTGTCAGGCCCTTATAAAAGACAAACTGAATTTGGAATACTCCAGAAGCATATCTATTTGCAAATGATAAAACCAATGTTCAAAAAAACCCAATGGCATGAGATTCACTTGTTCTTTTATTAGTATTTGTGTGCTCTAAAAGTCACAGGTCATCAGAATGTAAAACTAATCATATACATACAGTAGCTTAATATTAAATCATTGTGATAAATATTTGAAAAACAAAAAATACATTCAGCATATTGCTATTTGTGAACTGTACACAGACACCAAAAAGGATAGACAGAATTGACATTTACTGTTCTGAGGTGGCACAATGATGAATGAACTCTACTATCTTTTTGAGAAACACATACTATTTCTGTTTTATTTTTAAATAAACATTGGTTCTAAGGAGATATCTCTGAGCCTCCATTGTGATTAAACAATCTGTGATTAATCACAAAATGAATTACCTGACTCAAAGCTGGGATGGAACTTGTTTGAGAAGTGGTTTGAGATATAGGACCATTCATCTGTAAAATTGAAATTTCAAAGACGTTGTCACTACCACAGGGTGGAAATGTTATTTTTAAACCACAGTAATTAAGCAAAACCAAACCTACTGAGAAATGCAATTTTTATATGACATGACAAAGAAAATATTCAAAAGGAAACATACGGGTTCTTTAAAATTTTAATTTTGAAATTCTCACTGATGTTAAGTTTCAATGGGGCAAAATTAAGAAAAGTTAGTTTTCCCAAATTCATTTAGAAACTCTAAAATATTAGTGCTTGATATGATAAAATGAATGCAGGTTGTCAAAAAAATTTGAAATCCTATTTAACTCTCAATCTATGACAATGGCTGTAATCTTATGTATTTTTATTTGTATTTTTATTTAAAATACAAGGCTTTAAATATCTAGTTATAATTACCTTCTGTTTTCTCTATCACCCAGTATATAGAAATAGTTTCCTCTACTAAGCTATCCAAATCTTATTTTAGATACTTTTTCAGAAACAGCACATCAAATACTATATTTTAGCATGGGAAGGAACAGCAAAATCAGGACACTGAAATTACCATTTCCCTGTCCTTTTCCCTTAAACTGGCCCATAAAACCTAGCAGATTTTCCCCTCAAAACCCGTCATCAGACACTTATTCTAAGGGATCCTATGGTTTCCCCAGGAAAGGAATGTCATACAGGGACACCGAAACAAAATAACCTGAACACACAAGTTTTAACTAGGTTTTCCTCAATTTATTACCATTAGACCACATCTTTTTTGTTTAATCATGCTTTTCCATAACTCACCCCTTCTGTATCAGACTTAGCATATAGTTTTCCTTGAGAGTGGACGGTTCTTCATTTTTGAAGGTTTCTGTGTCACATAAAACTTATTGCTAAATAAAGGTCTTTCTTTTGTTCATCTGTCTTCTATTACTTCTCAACTATAATCTTCGGATCTGTAAAAAATCCTCTCTTCTACAAAAGTACACCAGCTATACAGTATGTAGATCTTGATATATTGTAGTGCTACTATTTTGTCCTTAAATACAATGTACTCCTTCTTAAATCCAAGTAGATTTGTCAACAGAAAGAAATGAATGCTCCTGGTCCTCCCTTCAATGACACCTACCAGATGAGAGCTGTCCTTGCCCTCCTGGACTCTCTGTGCCTGCGGTTCAGCCACAACTTTAGTGTCCTGATCAGAAGTCATGGGCTCCACTGGTGCAGCTTAATGCCAACCTCAGGATGCTATAAAATGACAAAGATAGCAAACAGATCATTTGAGGGGCATACTCCGATGAATTCTTAGAATGACATTACAAAGACGTCTTAAAATCTTTAAGTTTTCCAGGATAAGGAATCTTAAGTAATTTCTGAGAATTACAGAGTAATTTCTGAGAGTCTTCGGAATTCTAAGTAATTTCAAGAAATATGCTCATAATGTACCTCTTACCAAAAAAGTAAGTTGTTTTTATTAGTGAATTTTTTCTTTGTATCAATATGGCAATGATGAAAATATTGGCAAACCATGTGCTAACAAAACTTTAACTT